CCCGCCTGGTCGGAGGGGGCAGAATACATGCAAAATGCGGCCTTTTTCAGGCCGACTGGTTTTTCTCGGGCGCTCATGCACGCGGGGTGGCGCATGCATTTAAAATAAAATAAATGTTGCTAAAAAAACTCCGAAGATTTCAACAAAAAAATCGAAAAACAGATCGGACACGGTTAAGGGCCCGTACAAATTTAGGTACCCTAACTTATGATACAGAGGAAGTATATATATATATTTTTTTTTCTCCCATCATTGAACTCTGTCGTCTGCCCCTCTGGCCCCTACCCTCCACGCCTACTAGCTATTAGACGACCAAACCGGGGTCACACAGGAGGATATATAGACTAAGCTCTGAAAATTCAGTTGTGGGTTGTTGTCGGTGTGTAGATGCGATATTCGGTCTCAGATTGTTAATGCGGGGTGGGGAAGGTGGGTTTTCGGCGAAACTTGGTGATTTGCTCAATGTAATGTGTGGGGAACCGCAAATCAGGGGAAACGAACTTTCTGTCCCCCCCCGGGGACAAAACGGGGATTTGCCCATATCTTGCCCATTTTAAGCGCTTTTTTGACCGCTGTTTCGGTAGAGCGAATCCTACATTTTTTGCAAACTTTGCTGGCCACTTCCGACCAGGGGACACGAAATTTATGACCCCACTCGGGACAAAACGGGGATTTCCCCATATCTTGCCCATTTTATACGCTTTTCAGATCACTGTTCCGGTAGAACAAACCCTACAGTTTTTGCACATTTTACTGGCCACTTCCCACCAGGGGTCACGAAATTTTGTTCCCCCCCCGGGGACAAAACGGGTATTTCCCCATATCTTGCCCATTTTATGCGCTTTCCAGACCGCTGTTCCGGTAGAACAAACCCTACAGTTTTTGCACATTTTACTGGCCACTTCCCACCAGGGGTCACGAAATTTTGTTCCCCCCCCGGGGACAAAACGGGTATTTCCCCATATCTTGCCCATTTTATGCGCTTTCCAGACCGCTGTTCCGGTAGAACAAACCCTACAGTTTTTGCACATTTTACTGGCCACTTCCCACCAGGGTACACGAAATTTGTGTCCCCCCCCGGGAACAAAACGGGGATTTGCCCATGTTATTACTACCAAGAGTGAAGGGTAGCGCACAATACTTGCAAACGTTGCGTTCGACACCACACCAGAAAAAGCAAGAAGAAAACAAACGTCGACGATTTCCATTCTTGTGGTTGGCAGCCAACACATCCATCCATCCCTAGCCCACCNAACAAAACGGGGATTTGCCCATGTTATTACTACCAAGAGTGAAGGGTAGCGCACAATACTTGCAAACGTTGCGTTCGACACCACACCAGAAAAAGCAAGAAGAAAACAAACGTCGACGATTTCCATTCTTGTGGTTGGCAGCCAACACATCCATCCATCCCTAGCCCACCTCCGGGAACCTCTTCTTCGCGATACGTACGCGACCTCTTGAGCTTGCGTGTTGTGCTTCCTCCCAATCCCCCTCCTCCTCTACCTCCTCCTCCTCCTCTTCGTCCTCCTCTTCCCCCTCCTCGTCCTCCTCGTCTCCCTCATCTTCCTTCTCCCCTCCCCCCCCCACCTCCCCCATGCTCTGGTCAAGCATAGGCGCCACTGGGGACTCGTCCGAAGATATGACCGGAAGAATAACGCCGGTGAATTGAGTCCCAAGCGCGCGTCTCCCAACCATCTCTTTTCCCGACTTCTCCATCACCTCGCCAACCAAGTCGGGGTACACCTTCGCTACCATGCAGTCATCGTAGCAGCCTATTCGNAGAGATTTTTGAAATTGTATGATTCATCTATGTATCTTCTTCGTCGCGGAGTAATCGAGCTTTGATATCGGTCCAGAGGGTATGATATCTTCTGTCACCTACGGTACTTCGTGTAAAGTCGCTCCACGCCTTGGGATGGGGGGGGCGTTGAAGACTCAATCACTCCAGCAGAAAAAAAAATCATTCACCGAACTTTCGTCATTACCGAGAGTTGGGATGAGAGAGCGGGCAACAGAGAGATGACACCAACGCGCGATTATTAGCGCGATCGAAACTCACGAGGTGAAATATTACCTCAAATGGTAGCGATGACAGAGCTTCAATGACCTTCGCACGGGGACCGGAGAGCTCGCGCGGGTATCATTGTTTCTCCCTTCCAGATCCACCACATCCACTTCGCGTTTCAAACTCTATGAGCTGCACACCAGACAACGCTGCTACTTTGCTGTTCTTCTACATTCGCTACACGTTGCTATCCCGGGGGGGCACTGGCTACCTCTGTGTGTGTTTGATCGTGTTAAGGTCAATAAGGTAAGAGGTTTTTACATTGACGTTGGCAGAGACTTCGACTACACCACAGCAAGCCGAACACACGCAGGTACCGCGACCTACCGATCTACGACGTGATTTAGACCTCGCTACGACATGAAAAACGCGTTAGGCTAAACGTGAAGCAAGGTGGAAGGCGTGTCAGACTTCCGGAAGGCTTGCATCACCGACCGCAACAGCAGTTGACGTGAAATCCCCCCCCCCCCCCCCCCCCCCCCCCCCCCCCCCCCCCCCCCCCCCCCCCCCCCCNCCTATCACAGCCGTCATGATGCATTGGCGTCTTCATCCGTCGAGACCGTCCCGCTCAGGCCCTTCTCGAAGTCATGTATGCTGGTAAGGTCTGCAACTTTGATGGCGCTGGCGCTGGCCTTTCCCTGTTGAACAACCACACACAGCAGAAAAAACGGAAATCCAACAAAATTAATGCTCCATCGAACGATCCTCGGTACTACATCACAGACCAGGCGACGCGCTTCAACCGCCTCGCATATGCACATGCCGCGCTGTTTGGGTGGGTGATCAGATTTACAGAAGAACCGAACTCGTACACTGGTGATGCAATTTAGAAGCAGGCCGCCATCAGAGTGGATGCAGAAGAGAGGCTTGAGAAGAGAAAGGCGGCAAGGTTAATAAGCAATAGTGCTACGTTGTTACCTTAACAGGTTGCGCCAACCGTTCTCCTCGCAACGCCGCCACCGCCGAGGCAAAGTGTGCGCGCTGCTGCCAGTGGGCTGATGATTTCTGGGCGAGTTCCGGCCGACGGTTGAGGGCCATGACATGCGCAAGGCCCATGCTTCTCTCGCTGTGCTTCAGTTTGCGTTTCACGCTACCGTAACAAACAGAAGCAGCCGCAAGCACGACGTGTGACCAAGTGAGCAGCGTCACGAAGTGTATAATCTTCAAACCCAACATCACATGAACCTACGGTGCGAGGTGGCACGGGCCGTAGGTAGTGCAGAGGCGGGTTGAGTGCCTGTGTCCAAGAACAATGGCCAACGACACGCCCGAAGCCCGTGGGTATGACGCGAGTGTAACGCTTACGCCGCGATATCTGACCCCAATGAACGCGGGGAGACCTTTGTGTCCAGACAATTCCACCCATGACCAACGCTGACAACCTACACAACGATTTTTCCCCGCCACCAGATATTTCCACAATAGACCATCTTTTACGTCACTCGAACACGCCTCGCTCATTCTCACTTCTCTGTGACCTTGTTCCGTTCTCTCTCCTCACGAAGGCGAAGTCGGTCAGAGACTCACGCAACTTTTCCCGGTCGAGCGCCTGGCGCTTCTCCAGTGCTCGCCGCTTCAGGACGATCTGTTTTTGCCGAAGTACGTTTTTTGTCCGACTTCAACAAAGCAGCAAAGCATGGTGGACATACGTGTATGTGTATGTTGCATGGAAAAAAAGTAAGGTACAGCACCATCGGGCTGTACAGATTTGCAAGCCGAAGGATTTGGAAGCGGGCTAGGATTAACTCAGTTTTATTTTCCCGTTGGATCGGTTTTTGCTTGCGAGCACAGCAGCTGAATTCTGGTAGAAGCACACGTGGGCGCCGTCGTAGTAAGCCTAGAGACCTACCTGGGCGTTATACTCGGCGAGGAAGGCTATTTCTTCCATTGGTTGCAGCTTGACCAGAGCCTGGTGAACCGTGTGGGCGTCATGGTATTGGTGAAGCCTCACGAGACTTGTGGTGCAGGTTAAGATGCACGATGGAGACGCGAAAGCACCACGAAACTAAATCAGGTCGGTGTTCCGTGAAGCGAAGGGACACAAACAGATTGAAGCTGTTGTAACACCGTAGCCAGTCATCTTCAGCCACAGATCGACGACCGATCTTGCAAGAACGATATTTGCATCATCGTGTTGGACACGGAAATCGTCCGTAAAGCGTGCGTACTTTTTCACCAGGCTACGACTCTCTCACGCGGCTTTGGTCTTCGGTAGTTCGAGAAAACGTTTGGTGTACTTTATGCGTGGTTTTGGGAGCCAGCTGAGCTCCAGCTCGAGCGTTTCCTTTTGAGCACGGTGCAATTGCTCAAGCTCCTCTTCTCGCATGGTGTAGACCTCTTCGACTCGCGCCCCCGCCGAGTTCATCGTGCGAGCACACTTTCCTATGCGTTTCTTCGTGAGACAACCAAGCAAGAGGGAACGCGAGAGAGAGAGATTGAGGAGATCTAAGTGGAAAGATCTGACGTCCAACGATAGCGTGGAGATGTCCAAGCTGGAAGCAGAAACGTGCGTGGCGTACCCACACATTCAATCAACACTTAGAGGTCTACTGAATGAATGTACGATGTTACAGGGAGCGCTCCGAAAACAACAAGCACAATCATGCCCTCATCAACCAGCAGCTGAGCCTATGCAATTCTTGGTGCTACTCTTACCACATCGTGGGTGCTTCGAAACCACACCAATGAATGCTGACAGTCATATACCTTTTGGGCCTTGTTGTAGAGGGCGCGCTGCTGCGTCTGGTCATTGCCAACATCAGTGAGCTGAAGCTTCTGAAGCTGGACCTAAAGCACACAGAGTGTTTCTTGCAAGTTCACCACTTGCTCATAGCGTCCACCGGCTGCCGAAACCGCAAGCTATTGTTGACCCACGATGCGGAGCGCAAGCGGCAAGGTATGCCGCGTGTTAGCGGGAAATGCCCCCGACGGTCAAAACAGACTGTGTGTGTGCTGCTATAGACTATGCCGTGCTCTCTTCTGAGTCGAGCTGTATCCCGTGCCCGTCACACCTCTGAAATGGCATTACTTGCAAACGAATTGGAGGTGACCGGCGAGCAGTCAACTTGAAATAGGCCGCCTATGAGGAACACCCGTACGCGTTTGATTCCACCTCGACACCATATATAGGAATCATGTGCTCAACTTACTTCAATCGTCACCCAGGTACTCGGGCAGGTCTCTGTATGTCGCCCTACCCCGAGACCGTGTTGTTCGACAGGCTACGTATCACCATTCATCGAGGATGCTAGCCTGAAACCTTGAGTGCTTTACCTTTCTTTTTGGCCTGACCGTCGATTTCACCATGTTTGGGATGCATGGAAAGCAAACCACGTGTAGCAGGGATTCTCAAAGAGTGCAGACGAAAACCGGAACAAGTGGCACCCTCAGTGTCGACAGGAGGACAATTAATACCAAACGAATCCTCCACTTTCTCTCACCGACCAGGTCGAGCTTTCTTAAACTAATGCCTCGTGAACGCGCTCGAATATCTTGATCTGATCCCGGCGCGGAATACGATCCCCGGAGGCGTATCTGGTGTTCAGTACATGAGCAAGTACATCGACAACGGACGGGGAAACCATATTTTAGTAAATACCGGGTGGATAATCTACTGCACATTAGAGGGGCCTACTGTAGTACTCTATTATTACATAGATTCCTACCGTTCCTGGCCTGGGTGGAAAGCGCTACTGCGGTAGTTCGTGTGTACACAGAGAGAAGAGAGTGCTGCACTCTTCTCGCACACAAATCGAAGGCAAAGTAACGCAGGAGGGGCGTGTAGGGGGAAACTCTTGTGTGTGACCACGGGTTGGAGTAAATGGCGCAAGTGCTGTGAGCGTTGATTGGAAGTGAAGACAAAAAAAGAAAAAAATATACCGGTGTAGTCTAGTAGGCACGTACCGCCATTGGCAATGCAGGAGAACGCAGACACATCTGTATGCGGACCCACCGGGCGTAACGTGACAACCGAAAGCGAACCAGCGCGTGAATTCAGAATGACAATGAGTACGCTGCTGTGTTGTTTGGCCGTGGCGATCATTCGTGAGTCTGCGAACATTGCTGTTGGATACATGTGCTGGATGATTTAGTGTCACGCAGACTGGTAAGATAACCGTTTGATAGGGGGCACCGCGATGATTCACGGGGCCCCTCCTTGCTGTGGGAGCCGCTCTTTGAGCACTCCCTCTTTCGTCCGTGTGAAGGACGGTCGTCTACCTCCCGTGAAGTTAATACATCACCAAAACAGTCTCACCCGATAAATAAGTGGCGTAGGCCGCAAACACTCTAGAGTTTTGCCCCTCGAGGGAAGCCACATCGGGATGAGCTCTGCTGGAGACGAAGAGCGCGCTGCTGCGAGCGGAGAACAGATCCGCCCGCCAGTGCAGGAGGGCCGCGACGCGGAGCTTGCAAGTTTGCAACGGCAGATTTCGCAATTGGCGGCCCTGGTGGAGGAGTCGGTGAAGAAGAAGGAGCCTGGCAGCGTCGTGGCGGATGCAGCCAGTAGGGGTGGCTGGGTTGCTGCCCCCAGAGGCCAACGAGAAGAGCCCACGCTGCCGCTCGGCGGTGGCGGGGGATTTCTCCAGCAGCAAACGAGAGATAGTGGGCAAGGACCACGGTCGCTGCTGGAAGGCGGCTGGGCCAGCAGATCGGGAGCGAACCCTGTTGGACCAGCCGGAGTGGGCCCGGGCATAGGACCGGACTACGGGGAAGCGAGGGGGTTAAACCCCCCAGGTGAGATACCCGTGATTCGAGGGAATGGAGAATACCTGGACGGCTACAGCAGTAGCCACCAGAAAAGGGTGACGGTCAATGCCCCGCTTCTAGACGGGAAAAGCCGTAGCCACGGGTTTGATTCGTGGCGAAAGTCATTCATCCAAGCTGCGAAGACCATCGACTTGGACGGGCTGTTTATAGGAGATGCAGAGAGCAGTATCCCCGTGGGCGACCCAAACTTGCCGACTTCCGAACTGCTCCGTAGGGGGTACACGAGAGCAGAAGTCCAACGGGGGCTTCAGGCGTTCCACTTTATCACTACTGCTGTGGTAAAAGAAGCTGACAAAGCAATTATCAGCAACTGTACGTCAGCGAAAGAGGTCCTTGCGGAATTGGAAAAGGTCTACGATCCGGAGTCACAGGGGTCAAAACAGGCCTTGATGCGGAAGATGTTCGACTTTGCAATCCCCACACACAGCAACAGCAACCCCATCGAGCACCTCTACTCTCTCGAGCTGCTGTATGCCCGCCTGCGCGAAAAGGGGCTCAATGCTGAACAACCCTTCGTTCTCGCCCACTTCGTTGGTTCCCTCCCACCCGAGTACCAACAAGCGAAGTTCCTGTTGGAGACAGCAACGGCGCTGGATAGGGCCGAGATCGTCAGGATCGTGAGCACGGTGCACGCGAGCCTCCCGGAGGGAAGGAAGGCCTCGAAGGGCCAGCGTAGGGCGGAGCATGCTCTCCTCGCGAGTGACGGTGGCGGCGGGGGAGGAGCGCCGGGCCGCGGCAACAGCGGCCGCCGCAAGGGTGGCGGCGGCGGCGGCGGCAACCAGAAGGGGAGAGGGGGTGGCGCGAAGGCTGGAGGCGGCAGCGGAGGCGGCGACGACGATGCGGGTAGCATGCGCGGTCGCTGTTTCCGGTGCGGTAAGAAGGGCCACCAGGTGGCCAACTGCCCCGAGAGCAAGCCCGTGCGATGTGAGACATGCAAGGGCTACGGCCACGACAAGAGCAAGTGCCCGACCGAAGAGGCGGTGCTCGTGGTGGAAGTGCCGGCGGGGAGGGCGTCTGCGGACGCCACAGCACTGGACGTGGCAGAAGAAGCGCTGGTGGTCGGTGACATCTCAGGCGAGTGTCACAAAGTCGTTGGTCGAGGGGGTGTAGAGCAGGCTAGGCGGGGTAGGTATGTTGCCGATACCGGCGCTACCACCCACATGTTCGCGAACTCAGATGGGTTCGTTCGTTACGAAGAGTGTGATCGACGTGTGCGCGTCGCCGCCGGAGAAACCTTCCCTATCGTAGGGTATGGCGACGTGACGGTAACCCTTAGCTCGCGCGACGGTACAACCGACCTGTTGTTGAAACGGGTTGCACACGTCCCCCGACTAGACTACAACCTAGTATCTCTCACTTCCCTCTTCGACGACGGGTTCGAAACCAAAACCCTCAACAAACACGAGTTGGAGTTGGAGAGAGGGGGGGGGGAGGTGGTGTACTTCCCCCGATGCGGTAACCTGTACGTCCAAAACGGTTTCCGCACACACACCGAACATGCCTGTGCCGCAATTGCTCCTGGCAACGCGAAAGCGCCCAGCACCCCCGTTGACATCAACGATTTCCACTGCGCGCACGGCCACTCCCACGAGGTGCTGCTGAGGACCACGGCGAAGCAGCAAGGGACGACGCTGGTGGGCGAGCTCCGGGAGTGCCTGGGGTGCTCGACGGCGAAGGGGCTTTCCAAGCCCATCCCCAACAAAACGTCGACCCGAGCAGTTAAGAAACTGCAGCGAGTTTTCGTGGATTTGAGTGGAAAAGCTAGGGTGCAGAGCTTGGGGGGAAAGTGGTACACTCTCATTGTCAAGGATGATTACACAAGGTGGAACCGTGTCTATTTCCTGAAGCACAAATCAGACGCAGCTGAGGCATTCGAGAGATACCTTGCCGAAAACCGGGCAAACGGTGCCCCGTCCGATGTCATGGTCGTGAGATCTGACAACGGAGGAGAGTTCTTTGAGGGAGAGTTCGGCAGGGTGTGCCGGAAGTA